ACCGGTTGTCACCCGCTCCCCCAGTTTCTTTCCTCATAGAACCCTTGATTCTCAATGAACTTCACATCCCTTGATACTAACACCCTCCTTGTCTCAGGAATGTAACATTTGTAGCCCTTCTGATTGATAGAATAGCCAATGAACATCCCTTTTGTACTTCTTGCTTCTAGTTTGTTCCTTTGTTCCCCTGGTACTAAGACAAAACAAACACAACCAAATACTTTTAGATAATCGATTGATGGTTTGGATTGGTTTAATACCTCAAATGGGGAAGAATCTTGGAGGATTCTTGTGGGAAGCCTATTGATCAGATAACAGGCCGTGACTACAGCATCTCCCCAAAATCTCTTGGGCACGTTCATATGAAACATTAGGGACCTGGCCACCTCCATAAGATGCCTGTTCTTCCTCTCAGCAACTCCATTTTGCTGAGGAGTGTAAGGGCAGCTCGTTTGGTGCACTATACCATGCTGAATAAGGTGTTGTCTAAAGGCTTGGCTTGTGTATTCTCCACCATTATCTGATCTAAACACTTTGATCTTAGCATTATAATGGTTAGTTACATACTTTTGAAAGTTCATAAAAGCCTCTAGCACCCTATCTTTAGATGGCAACAAAGTTATCCAAGTGTATTTAGACTTCTCATCAATAAAGGTAACAAAATATTTATGATTTTCTCTAGACATGCAAGGAGAAGTCCATACATCAGAATGAACTAAATCAAAACAGTTCTCATATATAGTAGATGATTTAGGAAAGACAGTTCTACAATGTTTGCCTAAAATACAAGCCTCACAAGCATTGTTTTCAAATTTAACATTAGGCAACATCAAGTTCAAAGATCTATGATGGGGATGACCCAATCTAGCATGCCACAAAGCATTATTCTCAACAGCAGAACTAAAGACAAAAGCATTAGATAAAGAGGATGGCTCAGTATTTTCAAGAACATAAAGACCATCCTTTGTTATTCCTTGTCCGAGAAGCTTACTTGACTCAATATCCTGAAAGAAAACCTCATTAGGACTGAATATAGCATAACAATTTAGATCAGTAGTTGCTTTCTTAATAGACAACAGATTAGATGTGAATGAGGGCATGTAAAATGCTTTAGACTGTTTATCAAATAGCTTAAGATCACCAATGCCTTCTATCTTAACCTTTTCACCATTAGCAATAATCACATTTCCTAATGCAGGTTTCATGTTACTAATCAATTTAGCATCACTAATCATATGATGGCTAGCTCCAGAGTCAACAATAAGTGGTTTATCACTTTTTAAGGCATGATTAGCAGAGTGATTTTCTAAAGAATGATCATGCACAACAGTATTAGCGATTTGATTAGTCAAGTTATGATCATGTAATGCATGAAAGCTAAAGGCTTTAATCGGTTTACCAGACTCTTTAAGAGCCTTAATGAGAGCATCCAGATCTGATTTCTTCACATATTCAGCTGAGGCCCTCATAGCAACACCTTCCTTTTCACGGTCTGAGAGGCCAGCCTCCTCATGAGCATGAGCTTCATTCGCCCTAGGCTTCCTCTGGTCCTTGCGGCTTTGCTTGAGATGTGGGTACAAAATCCAGCACTTGTTCTTCAAGTGACCCTTCTTTTTACAGTGCTCACATACCCACACTTCACGCTCCTCACCACCATAAGAACCCTTGTTGGCCGCTACAGCTTCACTCTTGTTAGCCATCACCAAGTCACTTCCTTTGTTACCAAAGAGACCCAAAGAGCCTTGTTCCTTCTGGATCTGAGAGCAAACTTTCCTCCAGCTTGGTAGAGTCTTGGATCTGAGCATGTGCTTCACCAGATCATTGTAAGTTGGGTTCAAGACCATGAGAAGAGCAAAGACCTTTATCTTGCTCTCTTCTTTCATTCAGAGTCTCAGCATCAACAGTGGCTGGCCTCAGCATCTCAAGCTCTGCCCAAAGAGATCTGAATCTACCAAAGAAGGTGTTAAAGTCCAGATCTCCTTGGTGGAAGCTGTTTATTGCCTTCTTAACCTCAAAAACTCTGGTGAGATTACATGTGTTTCCAAACACATTCTTCAAAGTATCCCACAGCTCCTTTGCACTCTCACAATAGGAGTAAGATTCCAACACAGGGATATCCAAAGCACCATGGAGAATAGCTAGAACCGCCTGGTCTTCCTGATACCACTCATCAGAATCAGTCACAGCCGGCTTCTTTCCTCCTTCTTTAGATTCGCCACTCTTTGCATCTTCAACATGATGCCATAGCTTCCTTCCACACAACACAGCCTTAGCTGTTCTTGCCCAAAGCAGATAGTTGTCTGCTCCTTTGAGAACAATCGGTAGAGCCTGAGCTTTGTTTCCCTCCATAGCAACCGTAGCAACACAGATTAACAGAGAAAGAAGAGAAAGTTTGAGTCTTTCACAAGAACAGGGTTTGTACGGACGTTTTCTGGGTTTAGAACGAAGAACAAGCGGTTTTGGAGATGAGATTAGAGAGAAAACAAGAGAAATAAGCCACCAGATTCAACAACCTGGCTCTGATACCATGAGAGAATATATAGATTAGCAGCGGATAAGAGATGATTACGAGATTAAGAGATTGTGTTGAGAGATTAGTGATGAACTCGGATGAATGAAGAGAGAATAGAGAGAATGGTGAGAAAGAGATTACTTCTCTTTTCTTAGAAAAGACATTACATGTGTATACAGCTATATAAAGTAAAAGGCATAAAGAATATGCTCTAAGAATCCTAAGCTATAGTCCAAATAAGGAAAAAGCAAAAGTAAAAGGAAAAGTAGCTTTTCAAACGGTCACAAAGGGATAAGGCTCCTTTCCCTCTTTTATCTTTGAACGCCAAAGGAGAAGAAGAGACTTGGAGCTAAAGGCTTCTAGATAACTTGATGAAGAAGCAACCCTAAGCATGGTCTTGTACGGACTTGTACGGACATACTTGAGAAGATCAGCTGAATCCTTAATGATAATGATCTCTCTTGATTAACACAGCCTCCTCCTGAATTGGGATCAGAATATGACTTTTACTAGAAAGAGTCCAAGTTTTCTGGTTTTCATAAGAGAGTAGTCACAGCCTGTTATCTTATCAATAGGCTCCCTACAAGGATCCTCCAAGATGCTTCCCCATTTGAGGTAGAGGTAGAGAGTCCTAAATGAGGAAGGATATGCATCATTTACTTGTGTTCTTATTCCTTTAGATACACCTCAAATCTCCTATGAAAATCAGAAAACTGGAACTCTTTTTACTAAAAGTCATATTCTGAACCAAATTGGCATGATAATGACAAGGGGGCGTTGTGAGACTAGAAACAAGAGGTAGAGAGTCCTAAATGTGGAAGGAAATGCATCATTTACTTGTTTTCTTATTCCTTCAGATACACCTCAAATCTCCTATGAAAATCAGAAAACTGGGACTCTTTTTACTAAAAGTCATATTCTGAACCAAATTGGCATGATAATGACAAGGGGGCGTTGTGAGACTAGAAACAAGAGGTAGAGAGTCCTAAATGAGGAAGGATATGCATCATTTACTTGTGTTCTTATTCCTTTAGATACACCTCAAATCTCCTATGAAATTCAGAAAACTGGAACTCTTTTTACTAAAAGTCATATTCTGAACCAAATTGGCATGATAATGACAAGGGGGCGTTGTGACACTAGAAACAAGAGGTAGAGAGTCCTAAATGTGGATAGAAATGCATCATTTACTTGAATTCTTATTCCTTTAAATACACACCTCAAATCTCCTATAAAAATCAGAAAACTGGGACTCTTTTTACTAAAAGTCATATTCTGAACCAAATTGGCATGATAATGACAAGGGGGCGTTGTGACACTAGAAACAAGAGGTAGAGAGACCTAAATGAGGAAGGAGATGCATCATTTATTTGTTTTGTTATTCCTTTAGATACTCCTCAAATCTCCAA